CCCCCGGGGGGGGGGTGGTTTAGGTGAAATTATAAGTTTAAGGAGAAATTACAGCAGAAATTACAGCAGATGGGGAGCGGGACATCACCGAGTGTGACAGGGGATCGAAGGGAGGGAAGGCTGAAAAAATACACCTGTTTATTTTATTTCTTTTTTCCCTAATTTTTATCCTTTTGAGGATTTTTTTTTTTTTTTTTTGGTTGAGAAAACAATGCAAGGTTTAGTGGGGGCCATGGGGGGGGAGGGGTTGTAGGGGCTGTAGGGATGCAGGGAGCCATGGCAGGGATGCGGGAGGTGGAAGGATGCAGGAGCTGTGGCGGGAATGTGGGAATCAGAAGGATGCAGGAGCTGTGGTGGGATGAAGGACCTACAGAGGGGATGCAGGAGCTGTGGTGGGATGAAGGACCTACAGAGGGGATGCAGAACCCATGGTGGGATGAAGGACCTACAGAAGGGGATGGAGGGGTGACAGAGGGATGTGGGACCTGTGTGAGGGATGCAGGGAGCTGTGGCAGGGATGTGGGAATCAGAGGAATGCAGGGCCTATGGAGAGGATGCAGGAGGCAGAGGGATGCAGGAGCTGTGCCAGGGATGTGGGAATCAGAGGGATGCAGGAGCCATGGTGGGATGCAGGACCTACAGAGGGGATGCAGGGGGGTTTGGGGGGTGTGAAGGAAACAGCAGAAACTCAAGAGATTTCCTCGCCTGCCCGCCGGCCGTGGGCTGCCAGATTAAAGCATTGCCCCCCCCTCCTCACGTGATAGAAGGATGTAGGACCTGTGTCAGGGATGCCAGGAGCTGTGGCAGGGATGCGGGAATCGGAGGGATGCAGGAGCCACGGTGGGATGAAGGACCTATGGAGGGGATGGAGGGACGATAGAGGGATGTGGGACCTGTGTCAGGGATGTGGGAGCCGTGGCAGGGATGTGGGAATCAGAGGGATGCAGGAGCCACGGTGGGATGAAGGACGTATGGAGGGGATGGAGGGACGATAGAGGGATTGGGGCCTGTGTCAGGGATGCAGGAGCCAGAGAGAGCAGGACCTACAGAGGGGATGCAGGAGCCGTGGCAGGGATGCAGGAGCTGCGGAGGGATGCAGGACCTACAGAGGGGATGCAGGGACCATAGAGGGATGTGGGACCTGTGTCAGGGATGCAGGAGCCATGGCAGGGATGTGGGAATCAGAGGTGGGATAAAGGACCTGTGGAGGAGATGGAGGGACGATAGAGGGATGCAGGATCTGTGTCAGGGATGCAGGAGCCAGAGGGATGCAGGAGCCAGAGGGATGCAGGGAGATGCCGAGCCTCTCTCCCTTCCCCGGGAACAGCGGTCCCAAACCCCTCGGAGGAGAAGCGGCTCGTGCAGAGTCTCCCGGGATACATCCCACAGCTCTTCCACGTTGTTTCTCACCCGCCCCGCAGCACCCGTGGGGGATTTTTCCCTTCCCACCATTAAACCCAGCCCTGCAGAAAAGCCAGGGGCTCCTCCAGTGTCCTGCCAACACCTCGCCCGCCAGCTGGCATGCCTGCCAGGCTGCCACCCTCGTTAGCTGCACCCAGAGCAAATTAACGATGAGGTTCAGTGTCAGGGTGCTGGAGGGGAGTGGACTTTGTCCTCACCCCAGAGATAAATGTTCCTTTTCCACCCACGGGGCTCCCAAGGAGCAGGAACCTCAGGGCGGCGCAGGGCGTTACCACCCGTGAGCCCGTCCCGCTGCGGTGGGGACAGGGCTGGGACACTGGGGAGGTTAGAGTCCCCTTCTCGGGACAGGTCCCCAGCTCTGGCTTGGCCATTCCCAGCTTTTGGTTTGGCTGCATCTGCTGAGGAAGAAGAGAAATCCCCATTTCTCAGGGTGGCACCTTGTCCCCTGTCCCTTCCCGCGGTGACAGCTCGGTCCTGGTGACACTTTAGCTGCAGGGGACGAGACTTTCTCACCCTGTCATTGCTCTAATCCCCCTTTGATGGGGTGTTAGATGTTGGGGGGATGACCATTTCTTTTGCAAAACCCACTTTTTTTAGCCAAAACTGCTTTTGGATTTGGGGGAAGGGAGTTTCTGCGTGTCCCTGGATCCCAACCTGGGTGTGGGGTCAGAGCAGCAGGTCCTGGGTTGGGATGAGGTGGGGTGGGATGGTGGGCAGCAGGGTGGGCTGGTGGGCCACAGGGACCATCATCTGCCCTCTCTGACGGACCCAGTTCCTCTTTTTTCCCCCCGCTTCCTCCTCAGAGTACCTGAAGGACGAGCTGGATCGTTACGTGGAGCAGCTCCAGATCGTGCGCGTGGTGCGGCAGAAGGAACGGAAAGGGCTGATCACGGCACGGCTGCTGGGGGCCAGCGTGGCCAGTGGGGAGGTCCTCACTTTCCTGGATGCCCATTGTGAGTACCCACCACCTCCTGGGGAGGTCCCCAGGGAGCTCTTAGGGGGGGTTAAAGCCATCTCCACTCCATGGCCAAACCCTTCCTGGTGCCCCAGGCGAGTGTTTCCACGGCTGGTTGGAGCCCCTCTTGTCCCGCATCGCCGAAGAGCCCACGGCCGTGGTGAGCCCCGACATCGCCACCATCGATCTCAACACCTTCGAGTTCTCCAAGCCCATCCAGAACGGGAAGCAGCACAGCCGGGGCAACTTCGACTGGAGCCTGACTTTTGGCTGGGAGATTGTCCCCCCCCGGGAGAGGCAGCGGAGGAAGGATGAGACCTTCCCCATCAAGTAAGTCGTGGCTGGGAGGGATTTTTATCCGCTCTCGGAGCTGGTGTGGTGGGAACAAAGGTTGGACGAGCCCTGGGAACACCCTCTCTGGACCCAAATGTTGCGAAGTGAAGGGGCTGAGCATATTTTGCGGGGGGACAACCAGGGGTGGTACAGAGCTGGGTGCCCTGTGCTGGGAATCTACCCCTTCCTCTAGTTGTTTTTGCTCCTTTTTCCAACAAACTGGGGTTTTCCGTGATTTTGGTGCCTCCACGTGAGCGATGATGTCCCTTCCCAGCAGTTTTACCCATGGGATGCTTGGTTTGAGGGATCTGGGGTGGTTTGTGCCTAGGAGAGGATGCCCAGGGACCCTCAGAGCCATGGGGCTGGTGGAGGAGAAACCTCTTCTGGGGTTTGGCCAGGGTGAACCTTCTGCAGAACCACCTTTGAGTTGTCCCCATCCTCTCTCTGCTCCTACAAAGTCTCTTGTTGAGGGCTTAATCACTCTCCTGCATCTTCTCGCTCTTGGATGCCCACCTACCCGGGCATGGGGTGGGCACCAGTGCTGGCACATGGAATTATAGAGTGGTTTGAGTTGGAAGGGACCTTAAAGGTCATCAAGTTCTAACCCCCCTGCAGGGACACCTCCCACCAGACCAGGTTGATCAAAGCCCCGTCCACCTTGGCCTTGAACCCCTCCAAGGACGAGGCTTCTCTGGGCAACCTGGGCCAGGTTCTCACCCCCCTCACATCAGCAAGAAGGTGTCACCTGAGGATCAGACTGCACCAAAACCCCTGGTTTTACCCCTTATTTTGCCCCGCAGAGAAACCCAGAACGCTTTTTCCCCCCGCACCTCTCCGGCGGTGCCCCGCGACCAGCCGGCTGCTCCCACCGGGGGACACCGGACACCCTGCCTGGCCCTGTCCCCATCCCGTCCCCTGGCCGGCAGCCGGGCTGCCTTTGTGTGGGGGTCACCCGGGAGACGTCCCCATCCTAATAAAAGGTCCCTTTTACCACCAGCCGGCGGTTTGGCTCCCGGCAGCGTCTCATCTCCGCTCAGCAGGAACGCAACCGGCTCAAGAGAATCCTTTTTTTTCTTCTTCTTCTTTTTCTTTTTTCTTTTTCTTTTTTTTCAATTTTTTTCCTGAATAAAAGCAAGTTTCTGTTCCAGCCTCTTCTAAAGATCAGATGGAAAAGATTAGAGAAGCTGGGGGAGTGAATGGGGCACCAGCCTCTAATCTCTCCCCCACCCCCTCCCCTTCCCCAACCGTTTTTCAGCGATAGGTTTTTCGGTAATAATATCCCCCTCTCGCTCTGAGCCAAGAGCCCCTCGGCTGCCACCGTCGCCCCCCCCCACCCCTGGTAGCCCTTTGGCCCCTCCTGGTAGCCACCACACCTGGATGGGGCAGGGAGATGGGGGGGACACACAGCTGCAAAGTGCTCCCACCCACCGTGAGGGGCGAGATGTCCCCAAAACTCAGCCTTCTGCTTGTCTATTTTTATTTTAACCCTGATTTTTGGCCCCCTTTCCCTCCCCCGTAGGTCCCCCACCTTCGCCGGTGGCCTCTTTGCCATCTCCAGGTCCTACTTCAAGCACATCGGCTCCTACGATGACCAGATGGAGATCTGGGGGGGTGAGAACGTGGAGATGTCCTTCAGGGTAAGGATGGGTCTTCTTCAAAGGGCATCTTCTGGGATGCCCCTTGTTGGGGGTGGGGCGAGAACGTGGAGATGTCCTTCAGAGTAAGGATGGGTCTTCTTCAAAGGACATCTTCTGGGATGCCCCCTGTTGGGGGATGCTTGGTTTGAGGGATCTGGGGTGGTTTGTGCCCAGGAGAGGATGCCCAGGTGCCATCAGAGCCCTGGGGCTGGTGGAGGAGAAAACTCCACTGAGGTTTGGCCAAGGTGAACCTTCTGCAGAACCACCTTTGAGTTCTCAGCTTCTCTCTGCTCCCACAAAGTCTCTCGTTGTCGGATCCCCCCACGTCTCAGGTGTTGCCTCCCCATAGGTCTGGCAGTGCGGGGGCCAAGTGGAGATCATCCCTTGCTCGGTGGTAGGTCACGTCTTCCGTTCCAAGAGCCCCCACACCTTCCCCAAGGGCACCCAGGTCATCTCCAGGAACCAGGTCCGCCTGGCCGAGGTCTGGATGGATGAGTACAAGGAGATCTTCTACCGGAGGAACCAGCAAGCCGCCCAGATGGCCAGAGAGGTACTGGGGGTGGGGGGCTCCCAGCTGTCATGATGAGGGGGGGAACCTGATCCTGCTGAGATCCTCCAGATCCTGAGGGAGGGGGTGAGCTCAGCCTGGAGGTGGGAAAGCAAACGCAGGTGGAAAGATGGAACCAAAAAGCTATTTTTTTTTCTATTTGGCCATAACGTTTTCTAGTAGAAAACATGGATTTTTAATATTTTTTAATTTTTTTTTATTTATTTTTAACAATGTTTTTTACACCAAAACGTTGATGCCAAGATGTCCCAGCCCTCTTGGTGAGCGGCTACATCTCCACGGGCTGGGGGATGTCCTACAAGACCCCACCACCCATCTCGGTCCTGGTGACAGGCGATGCCGAAGCCGAAAGAGGACCCCTCAGCTCTGAGCCGTGGCTCAGGAGGGGGATATTTTTTGGGGGGGGGACCAAGGGGAAGGTTTTTTCTTTGCTGGCTTCGGAGGTTAGTTTAATTTTCTCACGTGACTTTGTCGATAGAAGACGTATGGTGACATTACAGACCGGCGCAAGCTGAGGGAGCAGCTCCACTGCAAGAACTTCACCTGGTACCTCCAGACCATCTACCCGGAGATGTTCGTCCCTGACCTGACCCCCACTTTTTACGGAGCCGTAAGTACTTGGGGTTCACTCTTTGGCTAGAAGTCCCCAAAAAACTTGGATTTAGGATTTTTTTGGAGGGGTTAAACCAGCCAAAGGTCCCTCCAGGAGGAGAGTTTTTGGACAGCTGCATCCGTCACCACCTGGTGGGGCCGGTTGGGGCTCTGCCTGACAACCAGAGAGCTGGAATCCGGCAGAGCTGGTTTTGGGGCGAGGTACTGGGTGGGGAAGAGGAGGGGGAACGTGGCATTTGGGTGAAATCAGGGTGAAAAACCCAACGGGGGAGGACGGGCAGGACGTAGAGCTCCAGCTCCGTCTCTCCTGGAGCTCTATGTCCTGCCCGTTCTTCCCCGCTCTCTCCCCATTTGGGTTTTTCAAGTCCTGAGGATGGAGCTGCCATAAAAAATAAATAAATAAAATAAAATAGCCTTTTTTTTTCTTCCAAACTGGGTTTTTGAGCCTGACCTTCCTCGGCCCGGGCAAGGTGGCAGCACCCAAAGGATGTGGCCACTTAGGGAGGGGGAAAATACCTGCTGGCACCCCTGGGTTTTTTTTAAATTCACCTTTTGTTTTCCTGAAACAACCACCACGTTCTCGTTCCCTTCCTCCCCGGGGCATTCCTCACATCCTGGAAAAGGACAAGGGGACCCGGACACAGCACCCTTGGCATCGTGTTTGTACAGCAATAACCAAACACCCCAGAAAAACCCAAACGCGAGGCAGGTTCCCTTTCCCAGGTTCCTCAGAGCCCAATTTACCCCCCTCCTACCCCCTTTTTTTTTGGTTTTTTCCCCCCTTCAGATAAAAAACGAGGGCACCAAGAGCTGCCTGGATGTGGGGGAGAACAACCATGGTGGGAAACCTCTCATCATGTACCCCTGCCACGGCATGGGGGGCAACCAGGTGGGCACCCAGCGACCCCTCGTCCCAGCCCCGGGTGGTTCTTGGGGTGCAGCAGCGTGATGCCCCCTCTCTCCTCTTGTCCCCCCCCCAGTATTTTGAGTACACGAGCCAACGGGAGCTGCGGCACAACATCGGGAAGGAGCTCTGCCTGCGGGTGGGATCGGGATCGGTTGAACTGGGAATCTGCCAGTACCGGGGGAAACCCGGGCGGGTACCGGCCAGTGAGGAGTGGGACCTGGCACAGGTGAGGAGATGTTTCTCCACCCAGGGAACCACCCCAAGGAGATGGTGGCATCATCCCTCCCCTACCCCATCCTGATGTTTCTTTCCCTCCGTCACATCCTTTCTTCCTCTCTCCCCACCTTGTCTTTATTTTTGGGGCAGGACCAGCTGATTAAAAACCCGACCTCTGGGATGTGCTTGACGGCGCGAGGGAAGCACCCGGCGATGGTTCCCTGTGACCCAATGGATTCCCACCAGCTCTGGTCCTTCACCTAGACCGGGGAGCAGCGCCCGAGCCACCCCCAGGCCCCGACCGCGCTCAGGAAACCAGAATCCAAAAAGGAAAAAAAAAAACACTTCACTTTTTTGTTGTGTTTTTTTTTTTCTTTTTTAATTTAAGAAGCGGAAGCCTTAAATATGCTGCATTTTCACGGTTGCCTTGAACTCAATCCCGTGCCTTTGGAGCGAGGAAGCCCGGGCTGTACCCCAAGGAGCCCAGAACGTGGTGGTGGTGGCAGCGGAGATGCCCGGGGATGCTCCGTGGTACCCAGTGGAGATGCCCAGGGATGCTCCGTGGTACCCAGTCAAGATACCCAGGGATGCTCCATGGTACCCAGTGGAGATGCTCGGGGATGCTCCGTGGTACCCATTGGAGATGCCCAGGGATGCTGGGTGGTACCCATCTGCCTCTCCTCCTTCTCCCTCCCCGGCTCCAACCACAGACTTGGAAATCCACACCAGGCATTGAAAACCACGACTGTGCCACCCCCCACCCCACCCCTGACATGAAAACCGGGTGGCAATCTCCAGCCAGCGAGGAGGAGGATGGTGACTGGCCATATGGCGTGATCATTGCCGTGTGATGGTGGCCCCATGCGGGTCAGGGAACCCCCCCTCTGCCCCCCCAGTGCTGCCAGGATCTGTCCCTCACCCCCCCAACAAGCACCGGGCATCGCCGATATCTCTGCCTTTGGTGTCAGGTTTGACTTTGGTGGGCGGGGGGGATTTGGATGATTATTTTTTATGATGATGATGATGGTGACAATTCCTTGGGGCGATTCTACTTGTGCTCACCCCGAGGAAGGTTTTTCCCGGACGGAAAAGGGCTTGGATGTGCCGCGGTGTCCTCCCGGAGAGGGTCTCACCACCCCCCCTGGGGTGAGATCTCCCCCCTCCCCTGATTTTCTTCAAGCCCGACTACTGTAGCTGCTACTTGGGTTGCCATTTCATTTATAGAGGGGGGGAAAACCCCTCCTGGAAGTGGGGTGGGAGTGGAAGAACCTGTCCTTGGATACACAACCTCAAATAAAGAGATGATTTATTTTACTGACACCCCGTCTCCACCTTCCTCCAAGCTCCCACCCCTCCCCGCATTTAATTTCCCTCCCTCTTCTTACCTGGAACCTCCCTTTTCCAGCCCAAAAGGGGATTTAAAGCCGGTTTTGCGATGAGGTGTCAAATTTGGGGTGGTTCCAGTGGGTTGTCCCCATGCTGGGGCGGAGACTTTGCTGCCCCGTCCTTCACCCTGTTCCCTTCTGCACTGATCAAACAAATCAAGTGATTATTTGGAGACCATTTTACCCATGAAATCTCATGTTTTCCTTGGAGATAAGAGCAGAAACGCAGCAGGTGGGGTTTTTCTTTCTGTATTTTTTTTTTTTAACTGGGTGATGAACCCATAATCCTCACTATCCCAAATTTCCAGTGACTCCTCCATGAGTGGAGAGAAAACCTTCCCCACTGCAAGTTCACCCCCATTTTCTTTTTAAAGGGGGGGGGGATAAAACTGTTTTGGCCAGAAATCAGGTTTTTCTTACAAAACATGCTGGTGTTTCGTTTAACCTCAAAATCATATATTCCTCAATGACCTGGATGAGGGGACAGAGTGTATTCTCAGCAAGTTGGCTGATGGTACCAAACTGGGAGGACTGGCTGACACCCCGGAGGGCTGGGCCACCATCCAGGGTGACCTGGACAGGCTGGAGAGCTGGGCAGAGAAGAACCTCATGAGGTTCACCAAGGGCAAGTGGAGGGTCCTGCACCTGGGGAGGAAGAATCCCAGGCACCACTAGAGGTTTGGGGGGGATCTTCTGGGAAGAAGTTCTGAGGAGATGGATCTGGGGCTCCTGGTGGATGGGAAACTCTCCAGGAGCCAGCAATGGGCCCTTGTGGCCAAGAGGCCAATGGAGTCCTGGGCTGCGTGGGGCAGAGTGTGGCCAGGAGGTGGAGGGAGGTCATTCTGCCCCTCTGCTCTGCACTGGGGAGGCCACAACTGGAATATACTGCGTCCAGTTCTGGGCTCCCCAGTTCCAGAGAGACAGGGAACTGCTGGAGAGGGGACAGCAAAGGGCTACAAAGATGCTGGAGGGATTGGAGCATCTCCCTGATGAGGAAAGGCTGGGAGAGCTGGGACTCTTCAGCCTGGAGAAGAGAAGGCTGAGGGGAGACCTTATTAATGCTTCCAAGTACCTAAAGGGTGGGTTGAAGGAGGATGGAGCCGGACTCTTTCCAGTGGTTCCCAGTGACAGGACGAGGGGCAACGGGCACAAGCTGGACCATGGGAAGTTCCACTCAAATCTGAGGAAGAACTTCTTTGGGGTGAGGGTGGCAGAGCCCTGGCAGAGGCTGCCCAGGGAGGGTGTGGAGTCCCAAATCTGGAGATCTTCAAGCCCCTCCTGGATGCTCCTGAGTGATGTGCTCTGGGCAACCCTGCTTTGGCCGGGGAGTTGGACTGGATGATCTCTAGAAGGTCCCTCCCAACTCTGACAATTCCGTGAGTCCATGAAAATGCCCCGTGTAGGTCTCACCCAGTCCCTGCTCCGGTGCTGTGTGTCCCGGGGGGTGGATTTTTTTTTACCCTGCGTTTGCCCCGATTTCCCTATCCCAGGAGCAACACTGGCCCCGTTCCCGTGTTGGATAAAACCCCTAGAGTTCATCCTGTGCATAAAGACGCTGCAGGAGCTGCTGTGTGGGCATCCCCAGGGCCCAAGACCGGGCTAAACTCATGACAGACGTGCAGAAGAGGAGGATGCAGGAGCAGAGCATCCTCCTCCTGGGAGATTTGGGCTGCCTGCCCGAAGCCGAGGGAGACTTGGGGTGCACCCAGGGTTTTCAGCCCTGACCTTGGGGGCCTCTGTGTGCTTTGGCAGAGGGACCAAGGCCGTGCCACCTGCTTTTCTTCCCGTCCCTCCTTCTCCCTCCCCTATAAAGCCACTGGCGGTGCCATGTCCCGGCCTCAGACGACGCATCGCCGTGGTCCAAGATGATGCTGCAGCTGGTGCTCCTCGCCGCCCTCGCCCTCTGTGGTGCGTCCTCATCCCCTGCGGGGAGCCATCGGCCTCCTTGGCTGGTGATGACCCCCACCCTGGGTGAGTTAGAGATTCACTCTGTGTGTCCCCCCCCTCTTTTTCCCCATCCTCTCTCCCGCAGGACGCTGCTCCGAGCAGGAGCTGGAGCTGGATGCGACCCAGCGGGTGGTCGGCGGGTCCGAGGCGCGTTCCCACGCCTGGCCCTCCCAGGTGGGTCCTTCTCAGGGTCGGTGGGTAAATCACATGGGGGTCTCACCCCCCTGGGAGCACGCGGTGAGACCCCCCACCCTTATGTCTCCTTTCCCCCCCTCCCCAGATCTCCCTCCAGTATTACTCCAATGGCGGCTGGTACCACACTTGCGGGGGGTCCCTTATCCAGAGGAACTGGGTGATGACGGCAGCCCATTGCGTGGACCGGTGAGCGGGCGTGGGGACCCCTCCTTCCTCTCGTGTAAAAAGCCATTTTCCACCCAAAAACCTTTCTGAGGAGATGTTTCAGTCACCCCAACCCAGAGAACAAAAGTCCTTGAAGGTCTTTGCTTCTCCTCCATCGAGGGGTTATCTCTGCTCATCTTTGGGAGCGTCGTCTTCTTGCGCTGGTCCCTTCTGTATCGACTCTCTCCTCAAATAATCGTAATTTTGGGCCTGATCCTGTGGGTTTTTTTCACCTCCCTGGCAGTAACATGAACTTCCGTGTCGTGGCCGGAGAACACAACCTGAACGCCAACGACGGCAGCGAGCAGATCTTCAGCGTCAGCAAGATCATCATCCACCCCTACTGGAACAGCAACAATGTCGCCGCGGGGTAACGCAGGGTGGGGATTATGGGGGGAGCATCACTGGGAACAAGACGAGGGGGGGTCCTTAAAATCTCCTCTCCCTCCTCTCCCCAGCTATGACATCGCCCTGCTCCGCCTGAGTGGCTATGCCAACCTCAACTCCTACGTGCAGCTGGCCGTCCTGCCCTACGCTGGCACCATCCTGCCCAACAACTACCCCTGCTACATCACGGGCTGGGGGCTCACCCGCAGTGAGTGCTGCCCCTGCCCTAAATCACCCCGAAAACTTGGGAAAGATGGGGAGCTGAAGGGTATTTTTAAGCCCTTTGATGTCCCAGGAGGCATCCTGCCGGGCTTCGCTTGGAGTTGGACAACATTGGGTGGGACGGTGCCAAGGTTTGGGGGGGTGGGGGGCAATTTTTATGCGGGAAAAGGGGCTCGGTGGTGGCTGTGGGTCTTTGCCAGGGTGGCACTAACTGGTTTTTGGTTGCCCACAGCCAACGGGCAACTCTCCAGCGTCCTGCTGCAGGCCTACCTCCCCGTGGTGGACTACCAGATCTGCTCCAGCTCCTCCTACTGGGGCTCCACCGTCAGAACCACCATGATCTGTGCCGGCGGTGATGGCGTGCGCTCCGGCTGCCAGGTAGGGCCCTGGCACCCCATTTCCCACCCCCTCACCCCCCCATGGGTTCTCTCCCAGTTCCTCCCATCTCACCCGGGTTCCTGGGCTCCTGCAGGGTGATTCCGGTGGCCCCCTCCACTGCATGGTGAACGGGCAGTACCAGGTCCACGGCGTCACCAGCTTCGTCTCCGGACTGGGCTGCAACGTGGCGCAGAAACCCACCGTCTTCACCCGTGTCTCTGCCTACAACTCCTGGATTTCCAGCGTAAGGGCGACAGCGGGGCTGGGGGAAGAGGGGAGAGAGGGCTGAGACCTGGCGCTACTCATTGCACCGATGCTCTATCCCCACTGGGCTTCACCGTGGCCTTTCTTCTCCCTCCAGGTGATCTCCCAGAACTGAGCAGTGGCAGGAGGAGACCCCATTCCCCGGCTCAGGTGATGGACATCGTCTTGCCCCACGTTTCCATCCCAGGGGTTTAAAACCCGTCGCCAGAGTCAATAAAAATTCATTCCTCAATCTAAGGTGTCAGCGGATGCTTTCTCCTCCACCCCCTCAGGGTCCTCTTCCTCTCCCATTACTCCAGAGCATCCCCTCATCCACCTCTCTCCTCTTCCTCGCGCCGTGGGGAAAAGCAACCGGCTCCGCACTCTTGGGGCAACCAGAAATTACTTGGGATAATGGGAAAGGGGAAAATGCTGCAAATCCCCTCGGTGGCAGCGACAGAGCCCTTGGAGATAGAGGGGGGACACGGAGGGATTCGGGGCGATCCCATCAGGGTTTTTCCCCACTGTTGCCACTATTTCTCTTCCAAAAATGATCCACCAAAAATGATAAGAGATGTCGGATGCGGTGGCGGGTACCACCTCACCCCGCTCTGAGGGTGGTGAGAGCCTGGCCCAGGTTGCCCAGAGAAGCTGTGGCTGCCCCATCCCTGGAGGGGTTCAAGGCCAGGTTGGAGGGGGCTTGGAGCAACCTGGTCTCCTTGAAGATGTTCCAGCCACCAGAAGGGATGGAACTGGATGAGCTTTAAGGTCCCTTCCAACCCAAACCATTCTGTGATTCTCTGGTGATTCCACCACTTCTCTGGGTTGGAGGGGACCCTGAAGATCATCAAGCCCAACCATCAACCCACCACTGCCCAACCCACCACTGCCCCATGGCCCTCAGCACCGGCTTTTAGATCCCTCCAGGGATGGTGTTTGGGGGGTGGAGCCATAGGACGAGGGGGAAGGGTTTTCAACCAAAAAATTGGGAGATTGAGGTGGGATCTGGGGAAGAACTTCTTTGGTGTGAGGGTCGTGAGACACAGGCCCAGGTTGGCCAGAGAAGCTGTGGCTGCCCCATCCCTGGAGGGGTTCAAGGCCAGGTTGGAGGGGGCTTGGAGCAACCTGGTCTGGTGGGAGGTGGCCCTGCCCAGGGCAGGGGGTGGCACTGGATAATCTTCAAGATCCCTTCCCACCCAAACTAGTCTATATTTCCATGACCCTGGAGGAGCTGACCGTGCCACAACCCCTCCCGATACGGGGACAAAAATAACTCCCAAAATTGCACCGAGACCCAAATTTTACCCCCAAACCCAGACGCTGGTGGAGGAATGAGGAGGTGAGCGCCCCTTCCCCATCCTCCCACTGCTCATCCTCCCACCCCTGTCCCTGGGCGCTTGTGGGGGGAGCTTTTCCGGGGGGGGGTGGAGGGTGGTGAAGGGTGGCGGGGGGTACCCAGCGGATGCTTCGCCTCGAACTTCCTCCGCAGAGAACGTCAAACCGCAGCGGGAGCCGAGCTGCAGCCATGGCCGAGGGCAAGACAGGGGGAGCCGGGCTCTTCGCCAAGCAGGTCCAGAAACGCTTCAGCCGAGCCCAGGAGAAGGTACTTCTCAACACCCACCCAACCCCCCCCCCCC